AAATACTATTGTAGAAGATACAATGCAACGAATATTAAATTCGTATTTTAAACGAAAAAAAAAATGTGAAAATAAATTTTTTTTGAGTAAAGAAATAAAAATGGCCAATTATTAAATTATTATAATATATAAATAAATAATTCTAATTTTTTAACCAAAATGAATTTATAAAAAATAATTCGAAAATAAAAAATTTAACAACCATCACACTTTTTTATTAAATTAAAATTAATAAAGAGTTTTGTTTTTTTCTTTGTTACTTTAATTACAAAATAATTAAAATTATAATTCAAATATTAATATTTAATTCATTTTTGATAAATAAAAAAAATAATAGATTTTTCTTGTTTTTTAATAAATATATGAATTAAATAATATAGTAAAATGAATAAAAACAGCCCGTTAAATAACAAACAATTTAACGAGTTATTTCAAACAAACCTTGTATACATTTTTTCAATTTTTTCAAGAATTCCTTTATTTTTTAAAAACAAAAAGACTAAAAAAAGCGTCATAGTTCGTTAATTACATTAATAAATTAACGTTAAAAAAATATGAAAGAGTTGTTTGTACAATACAAAGACAAGAAACCCTAACCGGCACAACAAGTGATTTTACGTTTGTTTCAGACATTTTGATCGACAAAATGCTTAAGCGGTGAGTTCACAAGCTCCTCCGACGTCCTGGATTTTTTTCTGAGCAGTTTTGGAGAAGAATCTAGCTCTGACGATGACTGGTTGTTTTGGTAAGAATCCCTTTCCAAGGACTTTGAAGTATCCGTGTTTAACGCAGTCAATGACTGGGACTTGTTCGCCCAATTTAGCGTTTTTGTATTGTTCTTGGACCTTAGCACCGACAAGGGCCCATAACCCTTCGACGTTAATAGATGGGCAGTACTTCAAATTTGGCTTTGCGTGGAAGACTCTCATTCCCTTCTTTCCAAAGAAATCGGGGTGGAAGGAGGTGAACCATGTTCTTCTATGATTCAATCCACCAGCATTACCTCTTCCTCCTCTCTCCTTCCTGTGCTTTCCAATACGACCGTACCCCATGCACACATGTCCTCTTCTACGTCGGGTCTGTCTAAAACGAGTGGCCTAAATGTGAGTGTTCACGCATTGACTAACAATTCATTAAGCAACAAACCATCCCTCTCTCACTTTCAAAGTTCCTTCTAACCCTATTTGGAGGGTCTTCTCTCTCCTATTCTTCTTTAGTTCTTTTCTTATTTCTTGTTAATTATCTTTCGTTTTTATAGAAACCCATGCTCTTTTTTTTCGTTCATCTTTCTATTGACTTTTCTTAGATATACTGAACTATTTGCTTGTTTTGAATTTTAGTCTTATTTCGTGTTGATATGTCTGCTGTCTGTCTGTTGGTGTGTTTTTTGTCTTATACTTTGTAATATAATATTCTTTATTATTAATTAGGTTTCCAGTCTTTATCTAGTTTATTCTAGTTTAAATATAGTAAAAATGAAACTATAAATGGAATCAGTCATCGCACCAAAGAATTCACTTTTCACACCTCTTTTTCAGTTTATTGAATACGCCAGTCGTTGGTTTATCACATAGAGGACACTTTTTAGTACCTATGCAACAGTCGCAACAGATGTAATGGCCACACTTCATCACCATTATAGTCCGTTCTTCGTCGTACTCTTTCTTACATTTGGGACATACCTTCTTCTGTGCTTCCTCAGCGCCATCTTCAATTTTTTGTTTCTTCATCACATCATCCTTTTTCGATATCTCTTGAACTGATTTCTCGGCATCACGCTTCTGCCGTTCATCAAATTCCCTTTCTAGTGTTAAACTACTTTTTGTTAGACTTCGATCGTGAATGAACTTACAATTGTCACCATACCCACAATACCCCGTTTCATAGTAATCCTTACATAACTCAGGCTGATAATCAAAATACGTGTTCTTCTTAAAGTGCGTCGAAATCTGCTCCTCTTTGGCGCGAAGTCCTTCTCCAAGGTTTTTGGTCTGTCCAGCTCCCTTCGGTATGACATATGCTTTCTTATTGTTTTTGCTCATTAAATTATCAAGTTATGCCTTCTTTTTTGTTTCACCTGTTCAATGGGAGAAATCTTAGACAAATGAGGTCTAATGTCTTACTATTTTTATCTAACATTGTTACTCAAACGAACACCAATCCAGTCAATTACTTAATCACCAGTTGCTCAGAAATGCCAAATAACATCGCAAATGACAAAAGTTGCTCATAACACACACAAAGTCTTAGACTTTCTTTCCCCACCCAACAATTAAACAAAGCATTTTTGAAAGGTCCATTTCCTATAAGAACTATTAAACATCCCTTCACTCGAAATTCTCGGTGAAACTTTTCTAAAGGGATTTCTTGTGTTAATAACTCTAAAAAGTTTTGATGTGATATTTCTATGACTCTTTCTTTGTCAACAAAATCACTTAAAATAGAAACTCCCTCGCTACAAATACGAAACGTGTCCAATTGCTCCAATTTTTTACATTTAAATAATTGCACCCCTCCACACACTAATTTACTGTGCTGAGAAATTTCTTGAGCTTTTTGGGACACAAAATACAAACTTTTCAAATCGTTGCCGACACTATAAACTTGCCCAAAATCAAAGGAAGAAGAGATGTTGTAAAACGTTCGTAAGAAATCAACAATTTGACTTTGCTGGGTGATACTCTGCAAAACACCCATCTCTTTAGGTCTAGTCCAACTATTCCCCTTTTTACTGTGTTGTTCCTCAGTTTGTATACCCCCCTTTTTCCACTTCTCTTTTCCCTCTTTTTTGATGACTTCAATTGCACCTGTTTTCTCAAAAAGTGCGCAGAAAAAGCCTCCGGTGTTCTGTAAGAATGGTAATATCCTCATACACTTATGCAACCCAAATTGCTCCTTTTCACTTTGACTTGGAGGAAACACTGTTTTTGGTATTCTGTCGCTCAACTCTTTGTTTTCACTCAGCTGACTGAATGAATGAATTTCGTTGTAATTTCTATCAACAACTTTCCACTCTGATATCCCCGCACTATAGCGAAGCCCTTGAATGCGATTGGCAACATCTACGAGTCGGACCTTCCCGGCATACCTTCTCAATATTTCTGACACAACGGCTTCGTCCTCAATTGGATTGAGACTACAAGTCGAATAGACAAAGAGCCCGCCCACTTTCAAGAAGTGCAACACGTTTTTCATGATATCAATTTGCTCCCGGTGAATGGTATAAGCGTCGTAGATGTCAAACTTGATTTTTGCATCAATGCACTTCCGCAACGTGCCATCGCCAGTGCATGGGACGTCACATAAAAGTCTGTCAAACTGTTCACTCTGATACTCCAATTTCTGCGCTCTAAAATTAGTAATCAGTAACTGAGGCGCATTCAGTCGCTTCGTCTGATGTACTAACAGTCGACTTCTAACAACGTCTGAGTCATTAGCCGCAACACATCCTTCTTTGCCGACCATTTCAATCAACTGTGTCGTTTTTGAGCCAGGCGCCGCACAGACATCCAACACTGCCATTCCCTTTTGACAGTCAAGTAAAAGAGCTGGGATCATAGAAACAACTTCTTGTCTCGTGACCTCTCCGCTTTCGTTCATTTTCAGCATGAACTCTTGAATCTTTTTTAACTCGGGATTCTTCTTAATATCCGTTTTTTTCGCATTGATCTGATATGCTGTTGAATACCACGCTATTTTCTCCGGTCGTAAATTTTGTGGAATTTGTTCAATTAGGGTTTCCAGCGTTTGCTGTGTTTGTTCGAAAAATTCGTTCTTTGTCAGTCGAAATGAAGTTGGCAATGGCTGGTTGATTATCTCGACAAATGCACTTTTGTTTTCTGGGGTGATGATACCCTGAAGTTCGTAATACTTGACAAACCGCTCGTCTAATACATCAGTTTTCCTCCATCCTTTCCCATTCGTCTGTTTTGCCTCGGCCATTTCGATTAAAATAAACAGAGCAATTCAAAGTTCTTTTCGGTCTTTTTTCAAATGGTTCTTTATATTATAAATAAACTATAATTATACCATTAAAAGAGAAACAAAGGAATGCGTGTTTTCACTTAGTCAGCTGATCTATGATGCTGTTGATTTCATCCAATGAAGTATTGTAGTCGATGAGATGGTCACTTCCATTATATTGAATATGATAACTGTCGCTCTGAGTTGCTTCTTGAAGAGCAGCATTCATTATCTGTTCTTCATTTTGTCGTTCATGTTCCTCTAAAGTCTCCTCGAAAGCTCTCCACATGACGTCGTCGTCTTGGCTATCAACACTCACATCTCTCTCTCCTCCACATTTCCTCGCACTTTGATTTCCCCTCTCAACAAACTCGTTCTCCATCACCTGTGCAGACTCATTCAAAAATCTGGACATGGCCCGCATTACTCCAGTGACGTTTCTGAATGTCTCTTGGCTCAACACAATGCGTGGGTTATTGAGCAAATTGTAAATCGACGAAAACAAGACCGCCATACGACTGAAACTCTGACTCGATACGTTGAGCCACGACTGAATGAATAACATCGCCGCATTATAATCCGTGTTATATTGCGGCTCTATGGTTGTTCCTGCACTTCTCTGGATGATTCCACGGAACTGCGGAGTATTCAGTAAATTCTCCAACACACGACGACTCTGTAAATCGACCGGAGTGGGTCGACTCCCTGTATTCGATCGATTAGTATGTGGATTTGGAATATTCTGATTGCCTTGATTTGAAGAGGAAATGGTGTTGCTTTGTCGAATCAAATTTGTGCGATTTTGTAAGACGTTTTGCGCGCTTTGTGTTGTTGGATGAACAACATTTGAGTGGAACGTCGTTTCTATTCTGAATTGTTGTGTTGGGTTTGATCCGTTACGATTTGTTCTGATCGAGATGTGGAAGTTTGGTCGCTCTCCGCGCTGAATTGACTCCAAAATTTCCGCGTTATTATTAATGAGTTCTTCGATGAATGGAATGATGAGTGTGCCGTTCTGGTCCAATTCCGCAAATTGGGGAAGACTTTCAAGTGGGATAGAACGTTGTTTGACATGGCCTATGTACAGTAAACTGTCCTTTGGAATGTTGTAATACTTGAACGTGTGCGTGTTATCCAACACACGATTTTTGTATGTCAAGATTTGATCCGGAGAACGAAAAATACGTTGCGCAACAACACCAACCATCGCGTTTTCATTCACAGTCACTACAATGGTCTTTTTTGGTCCAACTTCCCGGATATAAATTCTGTAGTCGCTGCTCATTTTTTCTCTTTTGATTTGCTTCTTTTTAGTGCTGTTACTTATAATAATGACTTTTTTTATTTGAAATCACAAAAGGTATTATTAAGAATAGATAATTATTAATAATTGTATAGTTCATATTCACAAGAGAGAAATGGTGACGTCGGGAGATGTACTCATCTCGTCATCAGAAAATGGAGGGCTCATTGGGGGACTTAACTCAAATACACATGTCGCCTCCAGAAGTTTCTCGACATCTGGAAATGGGCCCACCTCACTTTCTTGTTCGTAGTCTGTGCAATCGACGTATGGAACATCCTCTATTACATCTCTTCGACTTTTTGGGATAAATACCGATCTATTGATCAATGGAGTCTCGTCCGCAAAACACCTTCTCGTTGCTTGTCCAATGACAGTGAGGCTTGGCTGTTGTGACTTTGCGCTCAGTACACCGTCGTTTTCGTCCAGATATTTAGTCTTTTCATTAACTCTTGATGTTGTCATTCCTCTGATTTTTATGACTTAAGTTCTCATGCATTCCATCCTTTCATATCACACCAATCTTTTCTTCTCACTTTTCCTCAATCAAACATTTTATTATAATGAAATTATTTATAAAACTAAAATAATTCATAAGAAATAATAGTAAATTATATTATTTTTTTGTATTATTTGTGATTATGGTACTTTTACTATTATACAATAGATATAGACCAAAACTATAATAATTTAATAATGAATTAAAATGATGCCTCAAAGAATGATTTGCTTTTCAAAAACGTTCTTTCTCTTTCCAACCATTTTACGTCATTATTTGATTTTGGAGTGGTGATAAAAAATTCTTTCTTTTGGACTTTAGTTCCTTCTGGTTTAATAACTTTTGTTTCGACTTCGAGGAGCCCCTCCTCATTTAATTTGAATTTGTCCGAAAATGTGATGCCTCCTTTCAACGTCCTATATTGTTTAGGTATTTCTAACATAAAAAAACCTATTTCTTTCCCATCTTCGAATAAGATTGTTTTCACGGACTTTTGATAATCCAAAGAACTATATGAAACCATTGAGAACACTTCATTATAAAATGATCCTCTTTTAATACAATCTTCAGATAGACTGCTGGTA